TTGATACATTAAACACTAAAGACCGAAGACCAGAAGAGTTGTGGGATGACATCAAGAACATCATACAGGAAGAAAGCAAAAGTCATTAAGAAGACAAGATCTTTTCACATAATTATCACAGAATTTACAGTAAAACATTAAAAAAAAACAGATGTCAGTTTGAGGACTCAGGTGCAAAAAAAGAAATGTGTATAGACATTTAAACAAAAAATAACTAAGCTGACCATGTATTTTCAGCTTCTCACCATTGCCTCCTCAAATTTTCCTACTGGACTAGAAATCTTACTTCCATCTTTGTTCTTGCCACTGACTCTGAATAGCTTTTTCCCTGCCCAGAGGTATTTGTACTTTAATACAGAGAAAATCAAAGACAAAAGAATGGCTCTTCACTAATAGGAATACAGGAAACAGAGATTAAGGGCAGAACTTTTGGAGCTGAGTGTCTTCATGTGCCTGAAATCTTATCACGTAAACGTGGGTGCCCTCTGAGCCACTTCCCCAGGTCTGCCGACCAGATACACAGCATCCAAGTGCTCCTTTGCATGCCCCAAGGATATAAAAATATCAAAGATAAGGCTCTGCCTCAATTTAAAAATGCCAGAAATATATATTCATCTTCTATACTTTTGCTATAACATTGAATGGAAGGACACCTTTTGGGACTTGACTGTCTCTTCACATGATATTTTGAACATATAACCATGTATTTTATGTTGTTATTAATTTCTCATATTATTCCTATTGGGTGATATGACATTTATTCCAAAAAGAGTTATTGCTTGCCCACCAAATGCCAGATATTGGCAAGGGGTTTGAAACATAAAGGTCATTAGTAATAATGTTGTTGTTGTTTTTGTTGTGAAGTGTCATCAAGTTGGTTCTGACCACAGTGACCCTGTATAGGGTTTCTGAGAAATGACAGGTGAGCTTGAACCACTGACCACTTTGCCAAGCATGATGTTGTTGTCCAAGGACTATATGTCCAAAGTATGAGAGACAAAGTCTTGTCATAGTCACCTTTAAGGAGCAATCCGGCCATACTTCTTCCAAAACATATTTGCTTATTTTTATGGCAGCCCACGGTATTTTCAATATTCTTCACCAACACTATAATTCAAATGAGAGTAACTGTAGCCCTCAATTATCAACTTGCAGGAAACAGGTGCTCATTAGATAGTGGAATGGCTGAGTGTTGGTCTTATTTTATCTAGGTTTTACACTTAGGGACTGTGTGCTCCTTTGAAATACCTCACAGCACCTACTATATTTTGGGAAACAGACCGCATTAGAGACTAAAGACAAAAAAGTACCGTTCAGTGATTTCCAGTTTGTCTTCTTCTGGCAAATTGTGAACAATGGCAGGGACATCTATTGGAAGCATAATTGTGTTGAAGGGATCAGAGCTGTGGAAAAATCAAACATGCAGTCAAAGATAGTAGTTCTAGAGTCTTCATATAATTTCCCAAAGAACTTTGCTAGCATAATGGATGACGAACTGGACTGTTACTGCAAAATCAGCAGTTCAAATCTACCAGTCACTCCATGGGAGAAAGATAGCACTTTCTGTTCCGGTAAAGATTTACAGCCTCGGAAATCCTTACAGATTCATTATGAATCAGAACCAACTCAGTGGCGCACAACCGCCACCACCACCACCACCACCACCACCACCATGTAAATTCCCAAATCATTTAAAAATTATTTTACTACTTGGTGAGGCCTCTACTACTCTGTCCTCTCTCTTTCCTGAAAACTCACTAATGTTTCCTAGAGGCAAAGGCAGGGGCGAGATATCAGGAAAATGTAGACAAATAGAGTATTTCCCAGATTTTAGAAACATAGAATCATTGAATTTTTGAGTTGGTAGGATTTGAAGCAGAGAGTGCTGTGAAAGGGATGGTTGGTGTCAGAATAGGATAAAAAAGGTTGTAGGGTGCAAGCCTGTCTGACCTTTGTTTCATAGGAATCGGCCTTGGGCTCATTTTGAGTTTAATTCTCTTTCCCTGTATGAAACCAGGGGAGGTCAGGCATGGCTCCCACAGGGTTTTAACACAGGACTAAGGAGCTCTGGTAGCGTAGTGGTTACGAATTGGGCTGTGAACCGCAGGGTCAGCAGTTCAAAACTACCAGCTGTTCCATGGGAGAAAGATGAGGCTTTCTGCTCCCGTAAAGATTTACAGCCTAGGAAACCCTGTACAGGGTCGCTATGAGTTGGAACTGACTCCACGGCACATAACAACAACAACAACAACATACACTTCTGAAGGCTGGTGTCTCCATCTTTCTAATTGTTGTTAAGTGCCGTTGAATCAGTTCCGACCCATAGTGACCCTGTATAAAGTTTCTGAGGGCAGCTGGTGAGCTTGAACCGCTGACCTTGCAGTTCAAACAGCTTCTCAGTCTGGTGCATTAACCCACAGTACCATACCAGGACTCTCCAGTCTTTGGTTTACACATCAAAATGGCAGATCATGTTCCTTTTAAATGTCCTTTGAGCTTTGGGAACATGAAGCCTCAGTTTGTTGAAACATTTCAATTTGTATTCCATCAATTCCTGGAGTCTTGTTTTAAGCCAGTGCCTTCAGTGCAGCTTAGACTTCTTCCTTCAGTGCCATGAGTTCTTGATCATATGCTACCTCTTCAAATGGTTGAACAACAACCACTTCTTTTTGGTACAGTGATTCTGTATTCCTTCCATTTTCTATTGATGCTTCCTGCAGCAATCAATATTTAGTTCATAGAATCCTTCAATATCTCAAGTCAAAGACTGATTGTTTTCTTCACTTTTTTCATCTTGATAAATGTTGAGTGTGTTCTTCTCCTTTGGTTTTTGAACTCCAGGCCTTTGTACATTTCATTATACTATTTTACTTTGTGTTTTTGAGTTACCCTTTGAAATTTTCTGTTCAGTTCTTTTACTTCATCATTCTTCCAGCTGTTTTAGCTTCTCTGTGCTCAAGAGCAATTTTACAATCTCTTCTGACATCCACTTTAGTGTTTTCCCTATTTTTTTAATGATCTTTTGCTTTCTTCCTGTATGATATTCTTGATGTCATCCACTACTCTTCTAGTATTCAGTCATTAGCATCAAATCTGTTCTTGACCAATTCCAGTCCATTTCAGCTCAGTGTTGTTGTTAAGTACCATGGAACTGGTTCCAACTCATAGCGACCCTGCACAGGGTTTCCGAGGCTGTAAATCTTTACGGGAGCAGAATGCCTCATCTTTCTCCCGTGGAACTGCTGGTAGCTTTGAACTGCTGACCTTGACGTTGGCAGCCCGACTCATAACCACTACGCTACCAGAGCTACTATTGATTTTTATGTATTCCATTTCATTTTTTACAACTTCCAATTTTTATAGATCCATACTTTGTACATCCCATGTTTCAATTACTAATGGATATTTGTAGCTGCTTCTCATTTTGAGTTGTGTCCCATCAGCAAATGAAGGTCATTATGGTCAGCTCTACTTTGAGTAGGCAGCTCTGGTCCATCTTCTGGTGCTACGTCTGACAATCTTCCACAGCTATTCATAGTGTTTTCATCTTCTGGTGCTGTATCTAACAATGTTCTCATGCTGTTCATAAGATTTTCAGTGGCTAATCATTCAGAAATAGTCTGCTTCTATTTCTTCTTAGTCTGTCTTAGTCTGGAAGCTCTGATGAGACCTGTCCACCATGGGTAATCTTGCTGGTATTTAAAATATCATTGGCATAGTGTCTATCATCACAACACCCTCGCCACTGTTAGTTTGACAGTACAACAAGCTAACAGATAAAGTGGTGGTTTTCAATAGTGGTCACATACAATATTTGTCCTTTTGTGACTGAAAAATTTCACTCAGCATAATGTCCTCCAGGTTCATCCATGTTGTGAGGTGTTTCACAGATTCATCATTATTATTCAATGTTGAGTTGTATTTGAATCACGGTTACCAATTTGATCCCATATATATAGTTCTAAATGGATCCTAGTGGGTTACGAGTTGGGCTGCTCACCTCAGGGTCAGCAGTTGGAATCTACTAAGTGCTCCATGGGAGAAGGATGAGGCTTTCTGCTCCTGTAAAGATTTACAGCCTCGGAAACCCTGTACAGAGTTGCTATGAGTTAGAACTGACTCCACGCCACACAACTACCACCACCATATACTTCTTAGAGATTAATGCTCAAGGCAGATATTTTTTACTAGTTAACCTAAACTATAGTTTGGCTTTAAGAAGACTTTGGATGATATTTTTGGTTTAAGATTTAAAGATGACCTCAGGTTTCATGACAACTCAAGTCAGGTTGGCTGGGCCTCATTATGTATCACCGGTGCTGAATAAAGGCTACAACTCATGATCATCATTTGAGAATAGCACACACATTTCTTTACCTGTAATTCATTTAACCATAATTATAAAGTGTGGCACTGTAGTGATAAGCAATGGACTGCAAGGTTGGTTTGAACCTCAAGGTCACTGGCTCAAACCCACCAGCCACTCCTCAAAAACCCTATACAGGGTCACTCTGAGTTGAAACTGATTCAACAGTACTTAACAACAAACAACAACAATAAGAAAAATGGGCTAAAGAAGCACATTCAAGTGCTTGTTGTTAAGTGCCATTGAGTCAGTTCCAACCCATAGCAACCCTGTATAGGGATCCCGAGGAGCGGCTAGTGAGCTTGAACTGCTGATCTTGTGGTTCAAACTGATCTTGCAGTCCAGCACATTAACCCACAGCACCACACCAGGACTTCAGAAAAATACAACACTGGCTTAGGAGAGGATTATTGGCTGGGCAGACAGAGTACTCAAGAAAGTCATAGGCTACTTGTTGGATGAATTCCCGGTGTGGTGCTGTAGGAATAGCACTGGACTGTGAACCAAAAGGTTACCAGTTCACATCCACCAGCTGCTCCTCAAAAAACCTATACAGGGTCCCTCTGAGTTGGAACTGACTTGCGAGCACTTAACAACAACAACTTGTTTGATATCTACGGATATCAAATTTTAAAAGGTGTGGTTACTCTATATTTCTTCTTTTGTTGGTCTAACAATATTTTCATTTGCCCATTGTGGGCTATATCTGTAGCAGAGTTGTATCCATGGGATTCCCAATCAATACCAGGTCATGGCATGAGAGAGCAGTGGACCCTTTAGGATTGGATATGGAATGTGTAAATGACCGATCTGTGCAACCAGGGGGAAACAACTAGCAAATTAAAAAAAAAAAAAAAATTGTGAATCTCTCAGCTGAATTATATGGATTAGCTGTCTACTTTTACTGAAGAATTGCCAATTAGTCAATTGTGCTGTTCATTTTTAAAAACATGCCTTAATTAAGACAATTTTAAAATACGAAAATCTGTAATACATCATCACATATCTCTGATTAGCCATCATCCCTCATATAGAAAGAATGTGAGGTGACACATTATTGGCATTCAGCTTGTCAGGGTCATAGCCCGGGAGGCATCATGCCTCCATGAAAGAACTAGCTGAGCTGACTTACCTCCACGACGTCTCTGTCTTAGAAGTGTCGGGCAGAGAGGACAGAACCAGTGGCTGGAACTTCTTCCAGTGCATTATGCCAGGGATAATGTCCTGTAGTAAAAGCCAGCACAGAACACTGTAAGGGTACTGGTTAGTACCAGACACTGTAAGGGAAAATCTAGCCAGAACTTCTATTTTATTCAGTGGGATACTTTTCAGTCTTAAAAGCTTAACTCTAAAATTTATAATTTTATCAACTTTGATTTAATTTTTCTAAAACCAAAAGACAGTGACACCAGCTAAGGACATTAAACAAGGCAACACAGAATTACAGGAGGGATAAAGACGAGTATGTTCCTCCTTCATCAGGCAATCAGTCATGTTGTTATTGTTGTTAAGTGCTGTCCACTCACAGTGACCCTGTATAGGGTTTCTGAGGCTCTAAATCTTTGCAGGAACAGAAAGGCTCATCTTTTTCCTGTGAGTGGCTGGTGGGTTCAAACTGCTGACCTTGTGGTTTGCAGTCTAGTGCTAACATAGTAGAGTTTAAGTTCTCAGAATTTGGTTTGCTGAAGGCTGCAGTTTACAGTGATAGTTTTAACTTTATTTTCAGCTGTGACATAAATGCAGCTTCCATTTGAATTCTTTCTGACCACTAACCAGCAATGTAAAATGTTTTGCCCTCAGACGGAGCATCTGTAAGCAGACTACAGATTTCCCTAGCCAGCCCAGGGAGGGGCAGTCTTGCTTTCAGGGACTTGCCTGGGCATACCCTTAATGAATATCATGGTACCCAGACCACATGGTCATGAGTCATTCCTGACAAAGATGGCCAGATTTGACCCCAGAGTCAATTCTGTAAGCTTTTCTAATTTGCAATAGTGAATATGCACTAATCATGGTACTTTTCCTACTTCCTTAAGCCCACCTTCGACAGTGATGAATTGGTTTTGCGACAGTTTCCTTTATAATTAAGGTCGTGAAATCTTTAGACACCAGGAAGGCCTCATACTGATAGGCTCCTTCATTTGTATGATTTATTTTGTATAAGACTTTATAAAGGTTCCCTGCAGAATATATTTGAATTTGGGTGTTTTTTTTCTCCCTAGAACAGGCACATACCCTAGTGATGAAGGGCAGATTTGACTTTGCAACGGTTTTGATGATGTGTGAACACAATGCCAGTGCACTGTTCTCTGAGGATGACTAGTTCATCAGACACTGCTCCCGACCAGGGGAAATGTAAGTGCAAACGGGAGGCCCGGTGCAGGATGGCACTGTCAGCTCTGTGACATTCAGGGTGCACTGGGCACTGATGGGAAAGGCAGCAGGATCCTGAAGGGCCAAATTAATGAGCCTGGAGCTGCTCCTGTTGAAAGCAAGGACCCACTGCAGGCTTTCAAGTAGGAAAATGGCAAGGTCCGATTGGTTTCTTGGGAAGATTTCTATACAGGGTCAACCATAGCAGTTTGGTCATGGGGAGGAGCAGTGGGGGCAGATTCACGTACTGTGTAAGAGGGAGATTCCAGTGGGAATCAGATATAGGGAATGAAGGGGAGTGATGGCTCATGGGTGACAGAGAAAACTGCACAAGGAGACAGACAACTATGTACTATAGGAAGAGTGGGCCAATTTGGGTATGATCAGTAGAAAAGGGCAAAGTTTGGGATGTTTTGTTTGCAGGGGTCTGAAAGCAGTCCCCAAGGGATGTCCTGGAGTAGCTTAATTCCTCCTTGGGCAAGGAGAAATTCTTTGGAGCTACTTCCCCTACAGTGCATTTGTCACATCACTACCTTGTCCGTCCCTGATGTTTCTACGCTTGGTGGAGCCAAAGAAAGAAGAGGTCAACAGACCATGGGGTCATGCAGGCCATGTGACCATACTGACATGGTTGAAATATGAATAAAATGAACCTGAGGAGTAATCTTCAAGGGGAAAAAGAGTAAGGCTGTTGCAAAAGAGCAACACATGGTGAGGGATGGGTAGTCAGGTTAGAGGCGAAGTGTCACTTATGTCTAGCCCCTTGGACTGGCTGGTGGTATGAGTGCATGCTACTGTGGGACTGCAGTTGTTCCTATTCTGCAGCTTAATTCCAGCTGTGACCCCTCAACCCTCACCGCCTTCTCCTCCTTGACAGCATTACCGTGTGATGGAGAAACTGCTTTTGGGTGAGAGGAATGCTGGACCCATCATGGAGCTCTTTGGTGAACTTGTACTTGGGGTGAGGGCAGAGATGGTAGTCTATTATGGTTTCTTGGTAGGTCAGAGGGTGCATCACAGGGAACAATCCAGGGCTGGGATTCTACAGTGCAGAGAGAAAAAAGTTAAGATTATGTTTGTTTACCATAAGGCAGGCTGGTGTGACTATATAGGATAAGCACTGGACTGCGAACCACAGGTCGGTAGTTCAAACCCACTAGCTGCTCCTTGGAAGCCCTCTACAGAGTTGCTATGAGTTTGAATGGACTCAATGGCACTTAACAACAATAAAACCAGGCATAGAAAAGGCACCAGGCAGTATTTTCCATGGTCCCCTGGCATTATCATCTTGTTTGAAGAAGAGAAGCAGAGAGGCAGTGGTATCTTCAATTCGGCAGGGTTTTTAAGTGTCACAAGCATTCGTAAATGCCATTTTTACCAGTTTAAGAGCATCATGAGATGGTATGAGGATTTATTAAGTTCACTTGAAAACAAGTATAACTGGAATGATAGTGTAAAAAGGCTTAAGTATTTGTTTCTGAATTTGATGGATTAGGGGAATTATTAAATAAGCAAACTGGCTTTAAAATGCAAGTAAGCTCCTGGTTTTGAAAACGAAATTAGCCTCTTAAAACACTTTAAAGAGAAGACAAAGACAAGGATGACATTTGATAAATCAGAAAATGTCAACATTTAATGATGTTTTGGTAATGCTAATTTAGGAAGGCTCCATTTGGATGCAGTATCTGTTTTTTAGGGAGATCCTGTTTATTTACCAATTTTCCAGCAAACTGATGGAGGCACAAAGCAATTATATAAAAATACTAAAATATAAAGCTTTTAATGTTCCTTCTAAAGCTTTTACAACAAAAAACTTATTCTTGTACCAAACAATAGTACAAATAGCTTTTCTCCCTCACAGTTTTCAATTACAGATGTTTAAGAACCACAGAGCTGAGGTTTTGTTTTGTAATTTGCTTCTTTGTATGATTTTTTAAAACAACAACAACAAAAAAATTCCAGATGGTCTATGGAAACCCAATCTCACTGTTAAGAAACAACCTAAAGGAAATGAAGCTGGGAGGCAGAGCCTGGATGTTATGCACTTAAATGTGTTAGTTAGTGAAGAACACAGGAAAGACTGTATGCTCTGGTATAGGGAGGCAGATCGCAGCTAGGGCTAAGATGAGAGTCTGGGAAAGATGAGGAGCTAGCTCTTGACTGAATTCATGGACATGAAAGAAGAAGGAAGGTAGGGAGGCACTAGTGTTCATTGAGGGGATTCATGATGCTCACAGTAATGTAGAAAAAACCATACACCTCAGTGACTCCTTGCTGTTGAAGATGAATGAAGGTATATATGTAAGAAAATAGTATGAAAGGGGACAGGGCTGGCTGTGTAAATGGGGGTGGTAATGGAGCCAAGGGGCACAACATGAAGGGAAGGGAAATTTGGCCTATGACCATCAAGTCTCCTACACTGACCATGTGAAGCTGGTTAGCTCTACTGATCTGCTTTGGGTCGAGTATGATACATTTTTGGAAATAGCAATATCATTGTCTCTAATGGTTTTAGATCTTCCTGAGTGTCCATTGTTACCAGAAGTAACATTATGTTTATATTAATTTTTATTCTGCTTTAAGTAATGTATGTATATAGTAACAACTCACCAAGGCTGGAAGAAAACATTGTTTGTTGTTCACTTGTCATGAAAAGCACTGTTGTTGTTGTTAAGTGCCGCCGAGTTGGTTCTGACCCATAGTGATCCTGTATAGGATTTCCAAGGAGTGACTGATGAGCTTGAACCACTGACCTTATGATTCAAACTACTTTATGCAGTCTAGTGCATTAACCCACAGTGCCACACCAGGACTTCAAAAATGTATGAAGAAAACATTGACAGAATTGAAGGGAGAAATAGGTAGCTCTACAACCACAAGGTTGGTTTGACACCACAAAAATACATTAGGCCAATATCTCTTATGAAAACAGATGCAAAAGTCCTCAACAAAATACCAGAAAGCTGAATCCAACAGCATATTAAAAGGTTAATACCTTCTGATCAAGTGGTATTTATCCCAGGAAAACAAGGATGGTGCAACATAACAAAATCAATGTAATACTCTACATTTGTAGAACCAAGGAAATGAACCACATGTCTCAATTTATGCAGAAAAAACATATGACAAAATCCAATACTGTTTCTTGATAAAAACACTCAACAAAGTAAAAGTAGAAGGGAATTTCCTCAAGATGATAAAGGACATTTCTAAAAAATCCACAGCTAATATCATACTCAATGGTGAAAGAATAAAAAATTTTGCCTTCAGACTAGGCTGTAGACAAGGATGCCCATTAACACCACTGCTATTTAACATGGTACTGAAGGTTCTAGGAAGATAAATTAGGCAAGAACAAGAAGTAAAAAGTATCCAAGTTAGGAAAAAAGTAGAAAAAGAACTATATTCACAGATGACATGACCCTATACATAGAAAATCCCAAAGAATTCACAAGAAAGCGACTCGAGATAATAAAGAAATTCAACAAAGTTGCAGGATAGAAGATCAACATTAAAAAATCAGTTGTATTTCCTTACACTAGCAACGAGTAATCCCAGAAGGAAATTAAAAAAAAAAAAAAAAAAAGAATTTCATTTACAATAGCATGGAGAGGAATAAAATACCTAGGAGTAGATTTAACTAAGGAGGGGAAAGATTTGTACACTGAAACTACAAAACATTGCTGAAAACCTAAATAAATGGAAAGACATCCTATGTTTATACATTGAAAAACTTCATGTACTACATATGATTAGAAAATATCATAAAGCTACTGTCATAAAAATAAGTACTGCAATTGTTAAAGGATAAAAACATTGATAGCCTACAAACTGTAAGTGTTGAAAAGGAACTTCAATGATGAGTTATCATTTGACACTCGAAATTCCAGAGAGAGAAAATTCTGAATTAACAATGATGTTTTCTTATAAACTAATAGATGAAATTAAGGAATATTGAACAAAAGCTTCTTCCAATTGTAACTTACAAAAACATAAAGTGGATTATACTCTGGAGACTTGGCCAAGGCTTCTGGGGGCTTCATGTTCAAGACTGAGGTCTTGTTTGAGAGCTGAGGTGTAGAGTCCTGTTTTGGAAGAGCTACGATGGTGGTGACTTCATCCTGTAAAAGGACCAAGAAGAACAGGCATTAGTCTTGATGCCAGGACAAGAGGGAAAATGGAGAGTGACTCTTGAAGGTGGGGATGGGTTACCTCAGCCCCCTGCTTCAGGGTTCGAGCAAGCTTCTCAGGTTTATAACTTGTTGAAGACTCCTGGACAGAGAAGGGTTGGTAGCCCATGAGTTTGTACTGTTGAGGAACCTGGGGTGAAAAAAGGCAACTTACTGAAAATCCTTAGAAGCTCACTACCATTTTCAAGCATCACTATAAAGACTGATGATACCTAAATGGGGTTGGTAGACTCTACTTCAAAACAACAGCATTTCTGAGCCACCTGATGGTAAAAATAAAATAAGTAGCATGTTGTAACTTCATATTGGAGCAATGACTAATTTTGACTTAGCACTAAACAGTGTGGCACTGTAGGATAAGTGCAGGACCACAAGGTTGGTTTGAACCACAAGGTTGGGGCATTCAAACTCACCAGTAGCTCTTCAGAAACCCTATACTGGGTCACTATGAGTCAGAACCAACTCAATGGTACTTCACACCAACAAGCCTTGTTCTGAATCCCCCCTGGTATGCTCCCCTACCACATAGCCTAACAGCAGATCTACATCAAACACTGGTTTCCCAATGAAAAATAGTTACATTTTGAAAACCACAAGTGGGTATATACCTTAGGAAAGGCTATCTAACTCTTATTCACTGGATCCTGTGTTTTTACCGAAAGTTACATACTTAGTTCAGATAGCTTCATGTATGCATGCATATATATAATATATCCAGAGCAAAGTTATTGGTTCTCATAAGCCACATTAGGAAAAAAAGAAATACAATTCACAGATGCAATAAAATAACAGCAGAAAATTATACTCAATTATAATCTGAATTATTATCATCTAAACAGAACAAAATTAATTGAATAATACAATTGAAATGTGATACTATTTTGTTTGCTTCAGAAGAAACCCAATTAACAACTATCATGTAACAGATCTGACCTGCAAACTGAGGAAGGAATAAGACTGCTTGATTTGAAATTCTGAAGGCTTTATTGGGACCAGTCCAAGGCCATCCGGAGCCTAAAAGAAGAACATTCAAATAAATGACACATAATCAATCAACACTGAGCGAAAAAGGTTATGGTTCTATCTCCACTACTCTCAAAGTAACCTTTTCTGCCACCACTGTTTTGAGTCCTGGTGTGACACTCTGGATTAATGTGCTGAAATGTAAGATCGGTTTGAACTGCAAGATTGGCAGTTCAAGCCTCACCAGCCACTCCCTGGAAATCCTATCTAGAGTCACTATGAGTAGGAACCAATTCGACAGCACTCAACAACAACAACAAGAACAACAAGTTGCTATTCGATGTGTGGGGGCTCTGAGGTAGCACTGCAATGTCAGCCCCTCCTCTGGGAGGCATTCTATACTCAGTTTCAGGGAGGACCCATAGTTCAGCTGGCGCTGGAAGAACACATAGATGACCTCAACAATGCATCCAAACAACTTTGTTCAAAATGCACAAAGAAAAACCAGCCTGAGAATGAAAACAAAAGACACCTAGTTTTCTTGTCATCTTCTGCCTTAGAAAACTGGTTATTGGAAGTTCTGAAATAATTTGTGAGAAATATTGGACCTTGTTTTCACATAGTTTAGCTACGACTCCTTGTTGATATACTAAAAATTGGGCGAATTCTACTTCTGCTATGAGAATACAGGTAGTCCCCAACTTAGGACAGGGTTCTGTGCCAGCGACTCTGTCATAAGTACATTCTCATGCAAGTTGAATACCTCATTTTAAAAAGTTTTCATTATCATTGCCTTTTATTATCAGTATCTTTATAAATTCAATATTTAATACATCATACATAAAAAATACACAAACAAAAAATGTACTCTGAATGAAGAAGAATTGGACAACACTGACATTTTGTCATTTGCAGTGCTATGTTTGTGGATGATTCTGGATCATTTGGATTATCATGAGGAATGGAGATGGCATTTCTAGTCAGAAAACTGGTGAGAGTTATCTGTATGGTCCTTTTCTTTCTTTCTTCACATATCCTGCAGTAATATCTCACTGTTGACTGAATCGGCCTCTCAACCTTAGCAAAGCAGTCAGTGTTTGGATCCATGTTTTCAAACAACTGAAGTTCCTGATTTAAATCTATATGGCAGTGTTTTGAATAGTACACCATAAAATTTAACATCTGCAAGTGAACACCAGTAAATTATGTGCTGCAATGTTGCATGTAGTACATACATATCACTGTGATAAGATGTACAAAAACCAAAAGCAGACCATCATTAAATGCGGTTCATTTTAGCTTGAACATGCAGTAAATTGAAGGCTACCTGTATACAATTTGAATGGTGCGCTTTGAAGTGCTGTAAATTGTCTAAGACATGAACATGTGTGGAAGTAATGTAGACAATCACTTGCCTGAAGCCTAGGTAGAGAGTTCATGTTTAAAGTCTCTTATGGGAATAAATGATTGGGTTTTCTTGATAAAGCAGGGATTTAACAAGTTAGAAAAAGCACTCTACAAAGTTTCTGTGTTCTTGTTTGATATACAAGATGTTTACTTGTATTTTAATGGCTTTGCAAAGGCATTCAACTGTGTGGGTCTTAACAAACTATGTATAATATTGCAAAAAATGGGAATTCCAAAACACTTAATTGAGGTGGAACCTATACACAGACCAAGAGGAAGTCATTTGAACATAACAAAGGGATACTGCAGGGTTTAAAATCAGGAAAAGTGTGCATCAGGGTTGTATTTTTACTAGGTTCAATCTGTATGCAGAAGACATGATCTGAGAAGTTAGACTATGTGAAGAACATGGCGTCAGGATTGGAGGAAGTCTCATTAGCAACCTGTGATATGCAGAGGACACAACTTTGCTTGTTGGAAGCAAAGAGGACTTGGAGAATTTGCTGATGAGATCAAAGATTACAGCCTTCAGAACAGATTACAAATCAATGTAAATGAAGCAAAAATACTCACTATTGGGCCAATAAGTGACATCTTGATAAAGTAAAGATTGAAATTGCCAAAAATTTCATTTTACTTGGATCTATAATCAACGCTCATGGAAGCAGCAGTCAAGAAATCAAACAGCATATTGCATTGGGCAAATTTGATGCAAAAGACCATCTTCAAGTGTTAAAGAGCAAAGATGTCACTTTCAGGCATGGCGTGGCATCCAGCCATCACATTTGTTGTTGCTGTTAAGTGCCGTCAAGTCGATTCTGACAAAAATTAAATGTTTGACCAAATATAGCAGGCTAATTTTTAAGTTGATAATTTTGAATATCCCACCAATGATGTTATAAATTTTGGCAGAAATAAGGTTCCCCACCCCTGTTGTAGTCCATGAATAATCCCCTTATCCCCACCCTGTAACCATTATAGAATGATTCTTTTATTAAGAAAACATTTTCTGAACTTATTACAAGAGCAGTCTCATAGAATATTTGTTCTTTTGTGATTGACTAATTTCATTCAGCATAATGTTCTCCAGGTGTTTTTCAGATTCATCATTATTCCTCAGTTTTACATAACATTCCATTGTCTGTATGTACCAATGTTTGTGTAACCATTATTCTGTTGATGGGTGTTTAGGCTGTCTCCATCTTTAAAAAAAAAAAATTTTTTTTTAACTTTTTATTGTGAATTGAGTGAAGGTTTACAGAGCAGATCATCAGTTTTACATCCAGCAAATAATATACTGTGCTTCATTATAACGATTGCAATCCCTTCCATGTACCATCAACTAACAATATTTACTTCTGTCTCCTTTAACTCATGCACTCCTCCCTGTGTCTCCTGCTACCTTCATCTTTCCTCTGCCAACCTCCCTCTTGTATAGTGCCTGTCCCATCACCCATGCTAACATGTGTCTAGTCCAAGAATAATTCCTTCTTCTCCCCAACCCCCTCTCCATTACCTCCCTCCCCTCCCCCCAGGTAACCCTCATGTTCTTGTTGTTAAATGCTGTCGAGTTAGTTCTGACACATAGCGACCCTGTATAGGATTTTTAAGAAGCAGCTGGTGAGTTTGAACTGCTGACCTTTCAGTTCAAACTGACCCTCTGGTCCAGTGCTTATCCTAGAGTGCCACACCAGGTGAACCTCATAGACTGTTTCATTTAGCAAGAAAATCTTTTCATAATGTTTTACAAGAGCAGTCTCATACAATATTTGTCCTTTTGTGAATGACAAATTTCATACGTTGTAAGGATAGTATAGGAGCTCTGGTAGTATAGTGGTTATGAGTTGGGCTGCTAATCTCATGATCAGCAATTCGAAACTACCAGCAACTCTGTGGGAGAACGATAAGGTTTCCTGCTCCCATAAAGATGACAGCCTCGGAAAACCTGTACAGGGTCGCTATGAGTTGGAGTTGACTCCATGGCACATAATTACCACCACCACCACTACCACCAATGATAGTATGTCATCAATTTCAAGACATTTCCCAATTTCAAAGAGGCTAAATGTAAACAAAAAGTGGATGTTAGATGGCAGACTAGACAGAAAGTCTGTGCAAACCCTCTACAGTGAGGTTAGGGAAAACCAGACTAGACAGATGCAGAGGATAGTACTAGAACTCTGAACTACAGATGAGGAGATAGAGAGGAGGACTAAGTGCTTACTGGGAAAGAGAGCCAAGCAGATGTGGCAAGAGACAAGGTGACTTCTGAGCTGTGGTGGCCAACCAGATCTGCTGCAGCCAAAGTGAGTGTTTGTGAGTGCCATCAGAGACAATCAAAACGTCTGTTTGTGGTGCATAAACCTATCTGTGGCTTGCAAGGGTGAAAGTGTGATTTTTTTTTTCTTGTTTCCTACATTTCCTAATTACTAGATCTGATTCCAGACCTGGGGGGTTGCCCCATTCTCCTGAGCAAAAGATAGAGATTTGCTGAGCCAGGTCCTATCTTCTTGGTTTCTCTCTTTGCTCTTCAACTCTCAGGGCTGGTTCTCAGGAGTTAGAAGGGGCTCAGTGTTTGGGTGCAGGGCTGGGAAGGACCAAGCCCAGTATACCAGGATGTATTAGGACAATACAGATAGCAGTTGGTGACTTCTGGTTCCCCACTGGCCACAGTTCTCTTGGGACCTCCGGAGGAGGCAAGGGCTGAGACTAGGTTGGGGTGTGCTTTGGTATCTGCCCCACCTCCATCTGATGACACCTGGCCCTGAGTCACACGTACCAACTCGTTGGAGGTCTGAGGAGGACTGTAGGATGGGAAGGTGAAGGGTAGCACATTGCTGGGTACTACAGAGAACTGGGCAGAATAATCATTTTGACTCATCCCAGGCAGAAAGAGGTATTTGGTGGGACTCTCTTCTATAGGTAAAAAAACAAAAACAAAAACAAAAATACTTTTAGAGGTTTCCTGAAGTGTTTTTATGTAAAGTCACCATCTTGCCACATACCAGTTCATTTACAACATGCCATTTCAAAAAGAACACACACACATACACATACACACATGAGAGCCAATAAACAAGTATTGCTACTGAGGTAGCTCATACATTCATGGGTTAATCCATACAAAACATGTTTAAACATGTCTCTGTGCCCAGTGGATGGCAAGTTCTTTCAGCAATATACTTGTCTTAGTCTTGCTACTGCTGCTGTTAAATACCATCAAATCGATTCCGACTCATAGCGACCCTGTATAGGGTTTCTGAGGAGCAGCTGGTGTGTTTGGTACCTTTAAAAAAAGGGGGGCACTGTTTGTGCCATGGAAAAATACATGGATTTTGATGCTGCAGTTAATATAAAAATTTGAACTAAACTCAAGTGGACATCTTCCTAAAAAACTGAAGTTTTGCAACAAGTTTGCACAAATGTTGCCCCACATAAAACAATATTTTTTAGATGGATCAAACATTTTAAGGAAGACAGAGAGGCCAGCTTAGAAGGTAATGGTGACTGTTTTTTTATGATTCTAAAGAAGTAATCTTGATAGATTTTCTCCAAGGACACAGGACGATCATAAGGGCTTATTAGGAAGTTTAAAGAAAATTGAAACAACTGCCCTGGTAAGAAAAAGTCCAGGAAAGTGGCACCAGTGAATATTTATTTTAATCCTCAATGCACTTGCTCATTCTTCAAGGGTAACAGGAGCTGTCCTACAAGAATTTTGTTGGGAAACCTTACCCACTTCACCCTATAGCCCTGATCGTCCCTTCAGACTTCTTTATGTGCCCCAAACTCAAAGAACATTTAAAAGGAACATAATTTGAGTCCCTCAAAGACACCAAAACTTCCATATTGACGTGGTGTAAATTGAAGAATCTTTCAATAATGAACGTCCTTTTTAAAATGTTGAAGAGCAAAGATGTCAACTTGAGGACTAAGGTGCACCTGACCCAAGCCATGGTATTTTCAATAACCTCATATGCATGTGAAAGCTGGACAGTGAATAAGGAAGACCATAGAAGAATTGATGCCTTTGAATTATGATGTTGGAGGAGAATACTGAAAGTGCCATAGGCTGCCAAAAAAACCAAGAGATCCATTTTGGAAGAAGTGCAGCCAAAGTGCTCCTTGGAGGACAAGGTGGCCAAACTTCATCTCTCATACTTTGGACATATTGTCAGGAAGGACCAGTCGCTGGAGAAGGATATCATGTTTGGTAAGGTGGAGGGTCAGAGAAAAAGAGGAAGACCCCCAACAAGATGGATTGGCCAAGTGGCAGCATCGATGGTCTCAAGTATGGCAACAATAGCGAGGTTGGCCCTGGATCAGGCAGTGTTTCATTCTGCTGTGCTTAAGGTTGCTATGGGTCGGTACCGACTTGATGGCACCTAACAACAACAAATTGAAGAATGGGAATTCTTTGGGGAGAAAGTTAGAGAGATGGAAATGCAACCTTCAGAAATGTCTAGACCTAGATGGAGAATATGTTGAGAAACAATACGTTCACACTTTGATATTTTTGTTTAATAAAGGTTGCTATGATTTTATAGCAATACTTTTTGACTTACCCTTGTACATATATATTTTCTTCTTTCATTTTTAGTTCCTCTTTCATTCCTTACCTCAACTCATTCTCCATTAGAAAAATCATTTTACTCTAACTTCTGAAAGCTGTAATTCTTAATGAAAATATCTCTAATGAATACACTTTGTTCTTATCAGAAAAAAAAAAAGTTAAACTAAACATGAAGACATTTCACAGATGTCCACAGGTAATTTGCAGGTCAATTTTAGAATTTTTTTAAATTAGAGTTTTAAAATTAAAACTTAAATACCAGAGACAAAAATAACACGAGAAAAATACAAATAATTAAAATGCTGTTGAATGTTTTTATGAACACAAATACTTAATGATATTGATATGAAGAAAGGAAAGGAAAATGCTGCCTGGGAGTAGGGGGAGGCCTAAGCTGGGCTCAGAGGGTTAGGCTTCAGGGGAAGAGAGGGCCTGGAAGGATCAAAGCTTGCCTGTGAATCCGATTAACATCTATGGGTCGGAAATACATATATTGGGAGAATGGTAGAATATGTTTTAGATGCCAAGAATAAGTTCCCAACAGTCCCAGATAACCTAGGAATCAAAGTGTTGAAATCTCTTTAAATAGCAAACACATGCCCCACAATATGAAATAAAGAACTTTCTGTGCAAATTCTAGGCTGAAATAACACCAGATTCGGTCAGTCAATCAGCAAGTGTAAATGAAGCCAATCCTAGTCTCTCTGGTTTCAGAAGGGTTTGCACATAAAGTAGGAGGAGGTCAGAACCACAGTCAAATTTCACAGATGTTACAATGTGGTCCTGAATCAACTTGTTTATTGCCAACTGTGGAGGTATTTTGGGAAACTTGGCATGAAGGTCTCTATCACGTGATATGACCCCCAGTCTGTGAGATCGCCACATCTTAATCTTCAGAACCTATGAATATGTTACCTTACATAGTAAATGGAACATTGCAGATGTGATAGCATTAAAAATCTAGAGATGTAAAGACTATTCTGGATTACAAGGTGCCTTATAAGATAGAGGCAGGAGGTCTGAATTGGGGATGGCAATGCAATGACAGAGCACAGCTTAGAGTTATGTGAGGAAGGGGTCATGGGCCAAGGGAAGCAGGAAGCTCCTAGAAGCTCAACAAAGCAAGAAAATGGATTCTTTCCTGAACCCTCCAGAAGGACATAGCCCTGCTGATGCCTTGATTTTAGACTTTTGACCTCCAGAATGGAACATCACTAATGTATGCTGACGTGTTAGAGCAGAAATAGGACTCTAAGGCACATCATTTATAGGAATATTTTATCTCTACCAGCTACCTTCCTAATAAGGAAACCTCAGACTTGGAGAAATCATCAGTGTAAGTAAGCATCAGTGTCCTTCACAGATACATTTTACCTGACACCGGTTCTTTCTGATGACCGAACTTCCTCAGTATGGCCTCTCTGTCCATTTCACGAACAAATCCCAGCATATTGAGTAATCGTTGCTGAACCATGACCTGGAATCAAAGTGAATAGGGATTTCAAATTATTAGATGGTACATTCTCATTTAGTCATTGAATTTATTTACTTTCCTTCAACCACAACTGAGGGCTGAGACCCCCAACTCCTAGTCAGTTTGCAGGAAGAGAGACCCCAGGCTGAAGCCGCTAGGACTTCAAGGTCTGGGCTGTGTTGGGTTGCTTGACTGCAAAAAAAAAACTCTGCTATCATCTAGCCTTATTTCAACAAATTTAAAGGCCTGGTTTTCACTTATTTCTAGAGTGGAAAGAATGGATATTTGTATATTACTTCTTTTGGACATGTGTGAATAGTAATGCTAACACTATATTATTTTTGGAGCTGAAGAACCAACTACATGGACGATTCTGTAGAAATATTAACCTGTAAACCTACTGCCATTGAGTCTATTCTGACTTGTAGCGAGTAGAACTGCCCCATAGGGTTTCTGAAGCAAACGGACTCATCTTTTTCCCATGGAGAGTCTAGTGGGTTTGAACTGCTGACCTTATGGTTCTCAGCACAACACTTCACCCACTGCACCATCAAGACTCCTTGTTCTGTAGAAATAGGGCCATGAATTATAGGCACTGATAATTGCGCACCACTGTACTTGGCATTCAGTTCAGATACCACTGAAAGTGAGTGCAACTTGTGTATAAGAGTTGGGGCTATTTTACTCCAGGATTCACATTTCTTCCCATTCTGTGCAAGACTTTCCTTTTACAGAATTATGAAGTGTCTACTTTGTGACCAGGGGTAGCAGTGATTACATGGTAGAATTCTTGCCTTTCATGTGGGAAACCAGGTTTTATTCCTAGTCAGTAGAGCTTTCAGATTAAGAAGAAGACCCGGCAGTTTACTTCTGAAAATCAGCCAATGAAAAACCTTTGGATCACGATGTTCTGATCTACAACCAATCACAGGGATGACACAAGACTGGCAGTGTTTCATTCTGTTGTGCATGGGTTGCCATGAGTTGAGGGCCCAACTCAATGGCAGCTAATGGCAACAATACTCTGTGCCCCATTCTGCTGCATGAGTTGACATTCCAAGTTGATGTGGAGGAGGTGGAGTGACCATAAACACTTGGATAAATAAATAAGTACCATGGAGGAAATGAAAGAAGGTAAATGGATGAGGGCAGGACTGGAGGGGAATCTGGCTAGTGTGATGGCTTGCTGAAGAGGTGATGCTTAACCTGAGACTTGACTGTTGACAAGACGGTGGTGGAAAGATCTTGGGAAGAGAGTTCTGAGCACAGGGAATCAGCAAGTACAAAGACCTTGAGACAGGAACAAAGGAGCTATGTTTAAGGGACAGAGAGAACTCTAGTGTTGTCTTGTATCCTTGATAGAAAATACGTGTTTAAAAATAATTGGTGAGTATAACCAGGGACAAGATATTATCATCTTTACATTTTGAAAAGACCACTCTGGCTGCTATTTGAGGACTGAAAACAAGGAGTGGTCTAGGCAAGAGATGATGGTGGCCTGGGCTGTGGTGGCAGCTGTGGAGATGGCAAGCAGTCATCTGGTTGGGACATATTTGAAAATAGAATTGACAGACTTGCTGTGGCATGTGAGAAAAAGAGGCTGAGCCATCTCAGAACAACACACAATTGCTGACAACATTCTTTTTTAGGTTGGAGTGATTACTCCAGGAGTCCCACTTGTGGCAAGCCAGCCTGCCTAGTCTCTTGCTGTTGTCTGCTCATTTTCAACAGCTGGGTCCTCTACCACCTACTTGACACCGAGTACCATGCGGTCACAGAGTATGCCTAGGCAAAGCCACCTCAGGAGCCCTCGTTCTCTAGGGACCTTCTTGTGGGTGAGCAGCTCACCTAGTAGTGCTCCCTTCTCTCTAATTAGACTGTTCTCACATCATCTGTGAGTACTGCCTGAACATGAACTTCCTTATAAACGTTTACTCGTTTATCTTCACAACAACCCTATGAAGCAGGTATTATTATCTTTAGTGTACAGATCTGGAGTGCCTCATTGGTGTAAACAGTTACCATGCTCAGGTTGAAACAGAATGGTTGGCAGTTCATGTTCACCCAGACGTGTCTCAGACGAAAGGCCTGGTGATTCATTGAAAATGCTATAGAGCAGAGTTCTACTCTGATATGCATGGAGTCACCATAAACTGGGATCAACTTAACAGCAACTGATGTGTTTTTTGTACAGATGAGGAACTTGTATCCCAGAGGTCATGTAACTTATCTAAGGTCCCAAAGCACATAAGCAGCAGCACTAAGAATGAAGCAAGTCTCGCTCCCGATTCCAGGTCTAACCATCAACTTTCCCTTGTTTGATGTGGAGGTCCCAGAAGCCACACTCTAGTGGCAGGGATGAGAGATCTATGGGCAGCATATGATACAAGAGACACAAAGGAGATCCCTAAGTGCTAAATCTTTCAAGGACAGTTTCTTAGAGAAAAGGTAGGCTTGGATTGGATCCAAAAGGCATTTTATTTGGAGGAGAAAGAACAAAACACAGGTTTGTAGTCAGAATGACCATGGCATGGTAGGAAAAAGATGAGGATTGGGACAGTGGGGGGAAATGAAAACAGAACATTTTATTCTGATAACAGAAAGCCACCAGAGGCTAGAAATGTGCCAGGTGGAAGACCAAGGTGGGGCAAAGAAAGTGGCACACTTTAAAGGAAAGCCATAAGCCTGGACATCAGAGACACGATCCCACAGGGATTCTCAATTATTCTCCTAGAAATAATGGATCAAAACTCCATTGTTCTATAATTACCACATAATATATCAATTCCACTCATAGTTTTATATATCCAAGAGAACTATAGATATATGTCCATATATAGGTACTTGTGCATTTCATAGCAGTATTATTCATAATGTTGTTGTTGTTAAGTACCGTGGGACTCATAGTGACCCCGCACACGGTTTCTGAGGCTGTAAAGAGCAGAATGCCTCATCTTTCTCCTGTGGAACCACTGGGTTAAGAATTGGGCTGTGAACCTTAAGGCCAGCAGTTCGAAACTACCAGCCGCTCCACCGGAGAAAGATGAGGCGTTCTGCTCCCGTAAAGATTTACAGCCTCAGAAACCCTGTACAGTGTCGCTATGGGTTGGAACCGACTCAACGGCACTTAACAACAACAACACAACATGTATGGGAAAAGACAGTTATGAAAAGGTCACGTTTTGATGAGTCTATTTATATGAAATATTCTGAGTATTTGTACAAATCTATAGGGATAGAAAGTAGCATTTGCCTGGGCCAAAGGGAGAGAGGAGTTGAGGACTGACTGCTGTGCTCTGGGTTTTCTCTTTGAAGTGAAGAAATGTTCTGAAATTAGACCGTGGTGATGGCTGAATAACTGAATATAGTAAACACTTTGGAATTGTACATTTTAAAAGGGTTAATTTTATCGCACCCGAAGAAAAACATCATGCTTCGTTAAGTAGAGGATCATCAAAAAAATAGGAAGACCCCTAATGGCACAGTGGCTGCAACAATGGGCTCAAAGAGCACCAATTGTGAGCATGGTGCAGTCCTGGGCAGTGTTTCCATGATGTTATCTAACAACAAAAATACATTTTACGGTATGGGAATTACAGCTGAATAAAATTGCCATTAAAATATCCATTGTTCACGTTCCTTGTGCAGATGATTAAACAAATGAAAATTTCAATCTGGTGCTGGAATTTACCTTGCGGGCTGCTTGTTGAAAACGCCTTAGTGTCCTGAACCTGCTGGCCCAAGTATTATTAATGAGTGGATCAAAATTAGGATGGAATTCCTTGGTTTTCTGTGGCATAAAATATTGGCACATTTTAAACTTTAACATTTGGTGTATAAGCATGTAAAAAGAAACAAAACTATTTATTTACAATTTATTTATTCTGACAAGTAATGAGCATTTATTAAACACTTTCTATGCACATAGCATTGTAAGGGATACTTCTTGAGTTGGTAGCCAAAAATGAAAGATGTATCTTGCATTTTAAGAAATTGAGTCTAGTTGGAGAAACTCAAATTCATGTAACCCTGAAGATGAAGGATAAAGCTAACGGAAACTGGGAGATCCACTTGAGAAGGAGGACCACTTGTCTTTGCCCCTCAGTTCCCCCTCTCCACCACCAACTCTGCAGAGCACCTGTACAAAGTGGTACACATGGACCTAGATTCAGTGAATCGGGTGGGAAGGGCCCTGGACTGTATTGACTAGGCCAGATTCTGTGTCTAGACCAGTTGAAATTTAAATTTGCCTTTGCCAAAGAGATAAAGGAGAGACAAGCATATTCTTGAAGTGGCCAAGTAAAAGCAAGAAAGTGGTAAAGAACTAGATGGCACCCAGCTACCACTACCAACTGCTCTGAAAGGGATCACATTAGTGGGTACCATATAGGGTGGGAGAAAATGTGGAACAAAACTAAAAATCATTTAAAAAGATGTTTACTGGCCAGAAAGAGACTGGAGGAACCCGAGACTATAGCCCTAGACTAGGTCTGGAAAGAAACTCACAATCATGGCCCAATTTTCAGCCAAGTAGTAGATAGGTTTATAAGGGGGACAACAATACTAGTAAGGCATGCTCACCATGGAATGGTCAATCATTCAAAATTAAAAGGGCAGCATTTATCTAAGGACAAAGCTGAGAAGGGCTGGGAAGGTAGGTGGAATGCAAACAGGAACCACAGGAAAGAGGCGGGACAACTGTTTCCTGGAGAGGACTGCAGTCACTAAGATGAAACAAAGCGCATGATTTGTTGAATGTAAAACCAATGATCTTGTCTGTAAACCTCCACTCAATTCACAAAAGAGAAAGAAAGTGGTAAAGAGCAAGGGTGGGTTGACAGTGGTTGGGGAAGAACCATAAAAACTTGACACGATGTAAGCAAAGAGCCATGGCAAGGGACAGTCGATGAGACATGGGCTTTGAAATAAAAATGACTATAGGATAAGCACTGGACTGTTAAACACAAGGTCGGAGGTTCAAGCTCATCAGTTGTTCTGCCAGGACAAAGATGAGACTGCTCCTGTAAATATTTACAGCCTCAGAAACTCTGTACAGGGTCACTCTGAGTGGGACTGGACACTTGAGGCACTGGGTTTGATTTTTGCTTGCGGGGGAGAATGAGGCAGGGGAGAGTAAAATGTTTACTGTCGGCTCTCATAACTGTAAAGTAAAAATAAAAATGTTCATAACTACTTCAAACATCTTAAAAGGCGCAAGAAGGCTAACAGGTGAAAGCAATTATATAACCAAACTCTGGGCTCTAGACCAGTGGTTCTCAAACCCCAGCACCCGAATCACCTGGATCCAGCACAGCCTGCTGGGTCCACCCCCAGAATCTCTGATTCATCAGGTCAGGGTGGGGTTTGTGGAGTTTCATTTCTAACAGGTCCCTGGGAAATGCTGGTGTTGATGGTCCAGGGATCACACTTTGGGAATCACACATCTATGCAAATGTTGACCATGCTAGAGTAGACTGAGCGAAAAGTATTGGAAGTGAGTTCTTACATTGGCTCAAACTGCAGAGGAAGAGGAGGGAGGGTGGCAATATGAACAAAAGTAGATGTGTGCTAGTGGGGGTTGACACAGGCAGGCTGATTCAGGCCCGACCTGTGGGAGAGCTAATGGCAAGACTTCATGGTCAGATTCAATGTGGGTGAAAAGAAAAGAGGTACAAATAATCCATGTGCGGCAAACCCAGTAAAGAGAAATGAGGACAATGGAGATGGGGGAGAATTGTTTTCAAGGATAAAATTCTGGATTTGGGTTTTAAAAGGAATCTATCTCTGGAGGGAGTACACTCAGGTGCAAGGGTTGTTTTATGGTTTTATGGTTGAGTCCACCAGAGCTAAGACGCTTTTCCCAGGTGGTAGAGTGGGGACCAGAACACTGTTTTCTGATTTCTAATCTTGTAGTCTCACCAAGGGGCAGGGGACCCAGGGACCCACCTGAGAACCTGTAGACAGGGGCTTGGAAAGCAGTGGGAAATGGAAAAGGAGAACAAGAAAGTGAAAGCACAAGGACGTAAAGGCGGAACCAAAGCATATAATGTTGTTAATTTCAAATTTTGATGCCTTACTTGTTAAACATAGTAAAAAGCATTCTAAAAATGTAAGCATTTTAGAAATTATTAAATCTATCTTGGTAAGATGGTTTCTATAGATTTTTTTTTCTTCTTATTTTTAAATAAGAACATAAAGAGTTTCCAATTACAAATAAATGAGAGTTACCTACATTTTCTAGATTTCGAATGATCCGTTTGTGGCTAACTTCTGTCTTGAGTCGCTGAAATTCGTCATTCACAACGGGATCTCCTCTATCTAACTGGTTTTTTTAATCATGAAAAATGTTAAAGTTGAATACACATGCATAAGATGTAGTAGAAACCCATTCAACAATTGGTGAAACCCACCTATGGAGTTAGTTCCTCTTAGGGGTAGTGGAGGCACCTGCAGGTTAAAATTCTCACTATAAAGACATCTAATGGGGTGTTTGCACATCTGGTTAGCTTCTGCTGAGTGATATAAATGGTTAAGCGCTTCAGTGCTAACTGAAAGAAGGGTGGTGTTCTGAACCTACCCAGAGGTGTCTTGGAAAACAGTTCTGGCAACATGCTTCTAGAAAGAACTGACTCGATCGACAACAACTAGTCCTAGTACTTGTTGTAAAATCTCTAAAAACAGTTTGGCTCTTAGATACACTGCTCACAATCCCTTTTAAAGAGCTAACCGGACAGAATGCATTCTGATGATCACAGTAACACCCTATTCATATCTAAGAGAGTTGTATTCGTGTCACCCTTTAACACTGATTTGTACAGGTCAGAAGTTGAGTTTGTGGACCTTAGGTTCAAAATATAAATTTCGGTGGTGGGGGGTGGGTAGACCCAGATCTTCATTACGAAGAATAAAATATAAAATGAAATAGGCTTATTTAAAGAAGGGCATGGCAAGTAGGTTGTGAGTTGGAATAAAGAAGAAGTTTTCTTATATCTGTATTATTAAAATTCTATGGATTTATGATGAACAGTTCAGAATTTGACATTCTTGATCTTCTCCCAAGTAAAAATCTCAGCATTTTTAGGCTATAATGCTTCCCACACCACTCATCCCATCCCATCCCATCCCATCCCATCTCAACCCATCCCATCCCTACGACCCTTCTTTTCCCTAACTATCCACCTATGTCTTGGGACTTCTTGCAACTAACTGGTTTACCTGCTAGGGATCAACTGTCAAATGAAATCCCCTAGACACAGAGAATAGAATCTCTGCAACACATGGGCTCCAACTTTACTGGGGCCTCGGGGCTGCCAGTTCATCCTTCTGTTTTTCCCTTTCATCTATAATTGTTCAGTACCCTGACCCTATAAACATGATCAAGTTCTTTCAACTTACAAACCCAATTTTTGACCCTCATTGTTCTCTAATTGTTCATACAATCACTCTTTACCCTTGCACACCTCAACTTCTCAAATTTTTCAAGAAACTATGTCTACTTCCTCACATCTACATATTCTTCTAAGGGCCAGATTACAGCATAGGAAACACTCTGAGGCAACTGCTCTGCCACATAGGGTTGCTCTGAGCCAGAATGGACTCAACGGCACACACAATAGCAACATATGCCTCAGTTCATTACAATTTGGCTTTTTGTCTCTATGAATCTACTGAAATGGCCAACCCTAAGGTAACAATGACCTTCAACTGCCAAACCCAATGTGTATTTTTCAGGCCTCTTTCCACTTCTGTTTCCTTAGTGGTCCTCTCTGCTTTCCCCTCAGTTCTTTAATTTCCTCCCTTAAGCCATTGCCTTTCTTGAGCCACCCACTTTCCCTGGGCTGCTACATTTGTTCTGTGGTCTCCTCTCCTGTCTCTGTGCTGATCATTCCTTAGTCTCTGTCTTCAACTCAGATGTGTTCCCCAGCTGCCACCTACATGTCTTGACTCAAGCATATTATGCCTCAAAGTAAACTCTTCATCTATCACCAAGCCAGATTCTTCCCCCTTGAGTTATCATTTAGAACTACCAACATGCATTCAAGCTGGAAACCCTGGAGCCATTCTATCTTCTCTCTTTCCTTACCCCTTCCTCCAATTTACCAAGTGATCACTATACTTTTTTGTTGTTGTTAAGTACTGTCCTGTCAGTTCTGCCTCATAGCAACCCTGTGTAGAGTTGCTGGGGTTTAAAATCTTCATGGAAGCAGAAAGCCTCATCTTTCTCCCACGAAGCAGCTGGCGGGCTCCAACTGTGGATCTTGGCTCACAGTCCAGTGCTTATTGTATGTGCCATTACACCTAGCTCATTTAAAATGATCTCATTATGTATTTGTACCCTATCTGGACTGTGCCCTTCTTGAGGACAGGAGTCATAGTTTAGTTATAGCACTGAACCTAACTACTCTTGTAAATGAATGAAAAGTTAAGTTTGCCTGTCAACAAAATGCTGGCAATTCCAGCCTTAAATTTTACATTGACCTGATCATAGCATAGTTTTATAACACCATCATCTTTCTTACAAGTTAGGAAAGAAAACACTATGGTGTTGATAGAAAATACTTGGTATTTTGTTTACAAAATAGCATTTGAAGTATCTAAAAAGCACACCAAAGTAAATTTAAATGTAAGTCAAATATGTACCTTTCCTAAATCCTAAAATTTATCAATGTACTGTAATGATTTTACATACTTTTGTTTGTCTTGGGAAAAGTTAAAAAAAAAGAGAAATTTATTCAAATATCTGATTTAGACTCTAAAATCTAGAAAGGAAAACGTATTCTATATGGAAAACATAGTATTTGATAAGATACATGGATTGTTCGTAATCCATCCTGCCATTGTTACTAAGTTAGTTTACCTGAAGCTTCCATATAGTCCCAAATTTAATATATGTGATGATTCTACAAGGCCTATTAATCCAAGGACATTCAAACCCTTTGAACACAAAGACCTAGCTGAGACCAATCTCCTATATCCTCTGTGTGGCCTATGTTCCAGCCATTATGGCTCATCCTCAGTATCCTCTGCACCTGCTCTGCCCTCAGCTACTTCTCTCTCAAGTCATGGTGAGGCCATGGGTGTTGTTGGTTCCACAGTCCCTCAATTCCCATCTCTACCAACCAGAACCTACAGGAGTTGCCTTGGTGTGCCCCACTCCTCTCAACCCAGTTTCCTCCCCTCTTCTGGATATCATGTTTGGTACGGTGGAGGGTCAGAGAAAAAGAGGAAAACCCCCAGCGAGATGGATTGGCAAAGTAGCAGCATCAATGGGCTCAAGTGTGGCAACAATAGTGAGGTTGGCCCAAGATTGGGCAGTGTTTTGTTCTGCTATGCATAAGGTCGCTATGAGTCGGCAGATTCGATGGCACCTAACAACAACAACAATCTCAGTCCCTTTGAGTTTCTCTGACATGGGACATTTTGTTTGGGTCTGGTAGAGACTGGCTTTCAGTCATTGTCTTTGGGTTTGTCTTGTCCTCATGCTCTGCAGACCATAGACAGATGCACCTCATACCCATAATTCCAGCCTGACTTTGAGTCATTCCCTTCATCTGCAATGCTCTCCTCTCTACTGCTTTTCAAAGTTACAATGTCTTCCAGATTATATCATGTCAAAATAAAATTATACCAGGTCTTCCAGGAAGGCTTTCCAACTAGAAGAACTCTCTTTCCCCTCTGGCTTCTGAATCCCCACAATACCTCGTACAGGCCTCTCATGACATTTATAGCAAGACTTGATTTATAGTTAGAAATTTACTTTCCATTAGCTTCTCCTACTCCCAACATTAACTGTAAGTTCTTTTTCTCCTATTATTGTATCTTACATATAACACTTCAAAATATTTTGTGCAATAAATGATATCAGAGTAGCAGTAATTCTGACCTGATATTTTGTGCACGCTCTTTGATGTTCTTCAATAAGCTCTCTTCTTAATTTAAAAGATATGGGATCTTTACCAAGGTACACCTGCCTGGGAAGAGGAAAAACAGTTTCTAGAACTCATCAGAATCCAAAGGTCAGTTTTAGGAGGGAATGTCTTAAGTATACTCCTCAATTGAGAAGGGCTGTTGAGAGATTGGAGGAGACACTATGAGGCAGAGAAGTTATAGAAATTTCAGTAACATAACCATAATGACTTATTTTTTAGTGGCACATACTAAAATACTTATGAATAAGAAATATTATTGGTCAACATTATTAGTCATTAGTGAAATACAAAGCAAAAACCACAATGAGATTCTACTTCATACCCACTAGGATGGCTATAAATGAAAATCAAAACTCAACCAAAGAAAAAATGAAAATAAATGTTAGTGAGGATGTAGAGAAATTGGAGTCCTCATACATTACTAGTGGAAAACAGCTTGGCAGTTCCTCAAAAAGGTAAACAGAGAGCATTGATATCTACATGATCCTTGATGGAAATGTTCTAGAGTTAGATAGTGGTGATGGATGTAAAAATTGTAAGAAAAGCTTAAAAGAAAACCCTCTGAATTATACACTTAAAAGTGTTAAAAGTAGTTTTTATGCTACGTGAATCTCATGTCAATTAAATGAAAATCTTCTATGCAATGTGTCACTCATGGGGCTTGGAGCAGATCCAAAAAGAAATAGTAACTGATTTTAAAAGAGGAGAGGTGATGGAGAAGGTTTTAGGATAAAGGAGACTAAAGAGACATAAACATTAAATGCAAATTATATGGTCTTTGATAGACTCTCGATTCCTCTTCTGCATAAAAAATCAAAAAGCCCCAGTTACAAAGAAGCCCTGGTAGTGCCATGGGCTAAGCGTTGGACTGCTAACTACAAGGTTGTCAATTCAAATCTACCAGTTGCTCTGTGGAAGAAAGATGAGGCTGTCTGCTCCTGTAATGACTGACAGTCTTGCATACTCTAAGCAGCAGCTCTACTCTGTCCTAGGAGTTCATATTGCCTTGATGACAGTGCAGTTTGTTTTTTTAATAAAGGACATTATCAGAATAACTGGAGAAATTTGCATATGTACAGATTATTATTATCATATAATATTGTATCAATGTTAAATTTATTTGACATTACTATGGTAATGTAGAATATCTTTGTTCTTAGGAGCTACATGATGAAGTAGTTAGAGGTGAAGATTCACAATTGTTTGTAACTTGCATGAAATGGTTCAGCAAAAAATATTGCATATGTGTGGGTGTGTGCTTATGGGGGGATATATGTGGCATAATGCTGATAATTAGTGAATTTAAGTCAAGTATATATGGGTGTAATTTTCAGGTTTCAAAGCTTTCAATGTAAAATGTTGGGGAATAGTATTAAGTGGAAAACAGCATACAAATTGAACTTCATTGACAAAGAATAAACTGCACTAAAGTGTTAATAGTGGGGTTACAGTGATTTTTCTTTTGCGTCTATGCTTTAAAAATCTGTCTATATATTTTCAGGTCTTCTACAATGACAATGGATCAGTTTTATATTGTTGGGGAAATTATTTTAAAAAATTATTCTTGTATACTTTCTATTTAATTAAGGCCAGACCAGGAAAACAGACTTATGCTGAAACAGAGCACCTGGACTCATGATGGGGTGAGAGGTAATGGGTGAGATTTGGGATGCTCAAGTAACCCAGCCCTGTTCTGTAGTCAGGGAATTGCTGACAGCAGTGCCTCCACTGAGCACCAGCTTCTGGCCACAACTAGGAAAGCGTATGATTTATTCACATTCATTTATCCCAATAAAAACTTCATTCTGAAGTAAAAGGGTCAAAGGAGGTGAAAGAATAATCACATTCTGCTAAGGGCATAGATGCTACTACATTTCATTGTGTTTAACGTAAAAGAAGTCCTCACCTGGTAACAACCACACTGTCACTTGATATAAAAAATTGATCAATATTTACCACTTAAGGTGGTTTTCAATTTCTTCTTTAGTCTCTTGTCTGACCTTCTGTTCAAAAAGAGCTTCCTTTATTTGTCTTGTCTTTGAAATCTCATTGCCTTGGTACAAAACTGAAGATAGGAGCAAACAATGATTATACCAGTAATCAAATCAGAACCATTTTCCAAGAGACAGAAAAGTGCATTTCCGATGGAAACACACAACGATCCAATCAACTTTTTTTGTTGCTTGTAAATATTAAATGTGACAAGCACTAATTCTTTTGTAGCCTACCCAGGGGCTGACTTATAGTGGATTAACTGCTTACCTTCTCTTAATTTTTTGATCTTCAGTTTTCCTGGTTCTTGGTTTAAAACAGTTGCCACAGCAAATGGATTTGATAAATCTACTGGGAATCTCAAGTTCTGGTATTCAATCTCCTAAGAGACAACATCAGGAGGGAAAAGTAATTATTTGCTTCTCTCTAATTCCTTCCATCATGTTTAGGATAATGTCTGCTTTACCTTAATCTTTTGAGGCTTTGCCTTTCCTGGTAGTCTATGAAAATTTATATGCGTTGCCATCTTTTCTGGAGGAACGTTTACTTTCTTAGAAAGAGTATTTAATCTTTCAAATTCTTCTAATCTAGGTTTAAAACAGATATTAAATTAATATACACTCCAACAACTTAGGCCTCTTGTGTTTAGGCTCCTTCTGATAATACCATGTCTTCTTGTTTTTGGTAAGTGCTGTCGAGTCAGTTCTGACTTCTAACAACTCTGTGTAGGGTTTCTGAGGCTTTAAATCTTTGTGGGAACAGAAAGCCTCATCTTTCTTCCATGGAGAGGCTAGTTGAACTGCTGACTTTGGGGTTAACAACCCAATGCACAACCCATGATGCTACCAGGGTTCCTTACTTACAGTCCATTAATTATTATATCTAAGCTGAGTCCAGGTATGGCACTGTAGGATAAACACTAGACCCCTAACCACAAGGTTGTCAGCTCCTCAGAAACCCTATATAGGGTTGCTATGAGTCAGACCAGACTCAATGGCACTTAACAACATAAACAACAAGCTGAAAATAAATCTGTGTGTTAAAACAATGGTCCACTAAAATAAATGTAATGTCAGAGTTTAATTATAGATCAAAATAGCCCAAAAGAGCTGTTTTTTGTTTCATTCTTAGAGAACATTTGTTGTTGTTGTTAAGTGCAATGGAGTCAGTTCCAACTCATAGTGACCCTGTATAGGGGGCTTCCAAGGAGCTGGTGGATTTGAACCACTGACCTTGTGGTTAGCTGCTCAGTGCTTATCCTACAGTGCAACACCAGAAGTCCATAGCAAGTGAAAAACATGATATAGTAAAAAATGCTCATGGTTTAGCATGCTGTTGGATTTTAACAACTAAATTTATTATAATTTTAAAATCATACATTGATTTATCTTCTTTAGTCAAAGAATGATTACATACTGCATTTGTAGCAAGGTCTTTTTAAAAAGATCCAGATTAATGATCTGGTTCTTTCCTGTAACTAAAAACTGCCATGGGACATGTTTCAAACATGCCTATAGAAGCTGTTTCAATAAACAGATTGACCTTGAGTTGATTCTGACCCATGATGAGCCCACATGTGTCAGAACAGAACTGTGTTACATTGAGTTTTCAGAAGTACATTGCCAGCTCTGTCTTCTGAGGTGGTTCTGGGTGGACTCAAACCTCCAACCCTTCAGTTAGCAGCCAAATTCATTTGTTTGCACTGCTCAGGGATGCTGCAGAAACTGTTCAGGGTTGTTTATCATGAGACATAGTAAAACCATGTTATATTCTTTTTTTAAAAGTACTGTATTTTTTAGTGTGGTTTGAGTGAAAGTATCTAGAACAAACAGGTTTTCCATTCAACAATTCATACACATTTTGTTTTGGGATATTGGTTGCAGTCCCTACAATGTGATAGCACTCTTCCTACTTCTTCCCTGTGAAATAAAGCATTTTTTTTAAAAGTAAGAATGTGTGAATACTTGTTCTGTAGGATTACACATGTCCATGATATTGCAGAAATGAGAAAAACTAGTTTCTATGAAGTTGCTTTTGACTCAAACTGACACCATGTGTTTCAGATTAAAACTGTATTCTATAGGGCTTTTAAAGGCTGTAGTCTTTCAGATATAGGTCACTAGATCTTTCTTATGAGGTGCTTATATGTGGACTTGAACTGCTAATCTTTACATTAATAGCCAAGCTCTTAACCATTGTGCCACCCAGCAACTCCAGACAGAAATTCAGTAACAACATACTAATATTGATTCATGCTGACAATTAATATGCATTTGCTAGCACCTACTGAATACGTCTTACTGGGTAATATGGTAATATGTTAGCAATCTCAAATTTAACATCCTCCTATTTTAAGAGTCTTCAAGGATCCGTGACATGGAAGAATCTGACATTTGGTGACACTCACATTGGCTGGTCTGCTGAGGTGCTTAGCTGGGGAGCGAGCTATTGTCTAGCATCCACATCTCAACAAAGCTTTGGCATCTCTACTGTAAATTCTGGGAAGCAGTATCAGGGTGTGAAAATAGTCTCATAAAGAACTATTATTGTTAGTGCTGATGAAGGAATGAAGAAGTCTAAGGAAGTGATAAACTGAAGAGTTATATGTGGAATTTGGCTGTGCCAAATATAGGGTATGAGTAAGTTCACACTCCTTATACTGAAATGGGGTCCTGGTGTGGTACAGTAGGACTCACGCTGGACAGTTAACAGCAAGGTTGGTAGTTCAAAGCTACCAGCTGCTCTTCAGAAGCCCTATACAAAGTCAATATCAGTCAGAACAGACTTGATGGCACTTAACAACAAACAACAATACTGAAATGAGAAAAGCAATTTATGAAACTTTCAGATAAATTGAACAATTTTGTTTCCTTCCCAGTAGAATCTGTACTATCTGAATTTTGGGAAGAAAAGTAGGTCTTGAGACATGTTGTTGTTAGGTGCCATTGACTCAGTTCCAATTCACAGTGACTCTGTGCACAACAGAAAGAAAAACTGCCCGGTCCTGGGCCCATCCTCATAATCGTTATATTACTGCCACTGTGTCAATCCATTTCATTGAGAGTCTTCCCCTTCTTCACTGATCCTCTGCTTTACCAAACATAGTATTCTTCTCCAAGGACTAGTCCCTTCTTAAACATGTCCAAAGTACAAGAGACAAAGTTTTATCATTGTCCCTCCTAAGGAGCATTCCAGGTGTATTTCTTCCATAATAAATTTGTTTGTTCTTTCCTGAGCCCATGGTTACTGACCTAGCCATGGAGGGCTAGAGCTGAGAATGAAGTACCCAGCTGATATGAAGTGGAGGGAGACGCACAAGAAGGCCCAAACTTGCAGATAGTACCCTTTGATCTAATTTCGATGGCTTGATGACCAGAGCTTGACTAGAGGGAGATAAGGAAATTTGATAAAGGAAACAAGTGTAAATTGCTACAATTTGATGAATTTGACCTATACTTATGGATGTAGTAGCTCAAAATACTAACAGAGAGGGAAGGAGTCTCCACATCAAGGATCAAGTCTGTTCCCTCGGTATACAGGGTTGAGAGGGACGGGGGAAGGTAGAATCCCCAATGGATAGTTTTCATCTTTTCTAGATGAGTCTGGCAAAAGGAGATGGGGATAGTACTCTTTTGATTCAATAGTGATTAATTGTTACCATGACTAATTATGATTATCACAACTGTAAAGGTAGAAGTTTTGTAACATTAAGTGGGGAGTAATCTTACATTCCAAGGAGCTCTAGTAGTGTAGTGGTTACGAACCGGGCTGCGAACTTTAAGGTCAGTGGTTCGAAACTACCAGCTGCTCCGCGGGAGAAAGATGAGGCTTTCTACTTCCGTAAAGATTTACACCCTCGGAAACCCTATACAGGGTCGCTATGGGTCGGAACTGACTCGATGGCACATAACAACAACAATCTTACATTCCAGGAACAGAGGGCTCTGGGACCATCAAGAGGAAAGAGTATGAGTGGAATGTGGGACCCTAACCAGAGAAGCAGTGACATCAGAGATGGAGGCAGAGGTGATGGATGGAGAGCTAGAGCAGCTGAGGATTCTAGACTCATGGAAAGAGAAAGGCTGTGTGCTGGTGACTAGGAGGCTAGCTTGCAGAATGTGCCCTTTGGTTGCTTAAATGGTTACATATTCCTGAGTGTTTCTGTGCACAGAAAAAAACAAAAACAAAAAACAGAGGGAATAGAAGCAAATACTGTTAAATGATGATGCATGGAGGGGACTGTAATCATTGTAATGAAACAAAATATGATAGGATGAGTGCAAAATCGATGCTCTCCCATGTAAACTATCACTCAAGTCACAATAAAAGCTTAAAAACATTGTTCTTTTGGCAGTCCATGGTACTTGCAGTATTGTTTGCCAATATCGTAATTCTATTTTTAAATAATGCTTTCTGCATCATTCAATATTTTGTCCATTGTTATTGGTGTTCTTAGGTGTCAAGTCAGTTCTGACTCATAATGACACTATGCATAACAAAATGAAACACTACCCAGTCCTGCACCATCCTGACAATTGTTGTACATTTTGAGACCATTGCTGCTGTCACTATGCCAATCCATCCTGTTGAGGGTCTTCCTATTTTTTGCTGACCATCCACTTTACTAAGCATGATGTCCTTAATGACATGGCTGGAGTAAAACTTTCAGGATCTTCATTTGCTGCTAGGCCACAACTCAAAATGAGAAGAAGAAACAACTGCAAACATCCATTAATAATTGGAAGGTGGAATTTACAAAGTATGTTGTTAAGTTTTGTCGAGTTGGTTCTAACTCATAGTGACTTAGTTTAGGGTTTCTAAGGAGTAGCTGGTGGGTTTGAACTGCCTACCTTGTGGTTCATAATCCAGCATCCCACTAGAAATATAAATCGAGGAAAATGACAAATTGAAGAAAAATGGTGTCACACTTATTGTCAAAAAGAACATTTCAAGATCTTTCTTGAAGTATAATGCTGTATGCTATAGAAAATATCCATACACCTACAAGGAAGACCAGTTAATTCAAATTCACTATTATTTAAATTTATGTACCAACCACTACGAATCGAGCTGTGAACCTCAAGGTCAGCAGTTCGAAACTACCAGCTATTCCGCGGGAGAAAGATGAGGCTTTCTGCTCCCGTAAAGATTTACAGCCTCAGAAACCCTGTACAGGGTTGCTATGAGTTGGAAGCGACTCCACAGCACATAACAACAACAACAACTAATGGCAATGATGATGAAATTAAAGAATTCTACCAACTTCTTCAAGGAGTCCTGGTAGCATAATGCATTATGAGCTGAGCTGCGAACTGCAAGGTCAGTAATTTGAACCTACCAATTGCTCTGTGGAAGAAAGATAAGTCTTTCTGCTCCTGTAAAGATTTACAGCCTCAGAAATCCAAGACAGGGTTGCTATGAGTCAGAACCAACTCAGCAGCATACAACCACCATCACCAACAACAACCGCCTCGGTTTGAAACTGATCAAACATACAAGCAAGACGTAAGTTGGAAAACATGGCCTTGGTGATAAACACAATGCTAGAGATTGCTTGATAGAATTTTGCAAGACTTATTCATTGCAAATACCTTTTTCAAATAATATAAATGGCAACTAGACAGAGGGACCTCCCCAAATGAATACACAGGAATCAAATAGACTATCTCTGTAGGAAAAGTTGGTAGAACAGACTGGGGTCAATTGTGGAACAGAGCATCAATTGTTCATATGCAAGGTCAGGCTGAACCTAAAGAAAAATAAAACAAGCCCAGGAGAGTCAAAATTGATCTTCAGTTATATAACACCTGAATTTAGATACCATCTCAAGAACAGATTTGCTACATTAGACATGAATGACTGAAAACCAGACGAGTTGTGGGATGACATCAAGAACATCATACATGAAGAAAGCAAAAGGCCATTTAAATGACAGGAAACAAAGAAAAGACCAAAATGATTGTGAGAAGAGATGCGGAAACTTGCTATTGATCATAGAGAAGCTAAAGCAACTGGAAGAAGTGATGAAAAGCTGAACAGAAAATTTCAAATCTTGAGACATAGTCCTTACAAATATCAAAAGTATATTAAATAAGAAACAATCTTAAACACCAGCTGGGAAATGGAACATAACACAGTAAAATCTATGTGAGCAGAAAAATTAGTGCTCATCTTTATTTGTATTTCATTCTACTTGTTTGTTGCTCAGATAATTTTGGTTTCTTACAGGATTTGAGTTTAGTAAGCCACCTTAACACTTCATAGATGATTTAGGCTACTTTGAGAGTTAAGAGAAAAAATGGCATAAATGGTACAATAAATCATGGAATTAGTGTATATTCTGGTATATTATTGTTACTGAACTTTTAATACATCTAATTGAGTAAATTCGTCTAGCCTACCAGTCGCTCTGAAGGAGAAAGATGAGACTTTCTGCTCCTTCAAACACTGACAGCCTTGGAAACCCTTATACAGGATCTCTCTGAATTAGAACCGACTTGCCAGCACTTAACAACAATTGTGTTAATATGTGATGTATGAAGAGTCAAAGAGGAAAATCAAGATATTCTTTTTTAATTTCCCCAAGTAATTAAGGATTTCCCAAGACTGATATTTATATTATAACAACTTTTCCTTTTAACATTTACAAAAGTCATGTGTATTGCCGTGGTCAATTGGCAATTGCCATGGTCATAGTCCACAAAGGCAATGCTGTGATAAGTAGCAACTAGAGTCTTAAAAACTCATGAGTGGCCATCAATTTGCAACTATTGGTCTCTCTCTGTCTTAAGGTAAAAAGAGTGATGAAAATTGAAGATACATGGAACTCAAAATCATAAAAGACTAGTGGACCCCTGAGACTGTAGCCCTTGGTCACCCTTCAGGTCTTGTACTGAACGCACCCTCGTGGCTCAATTTTTAGCCAAGCAATACGTAGGGAAACAAGTTTACTGAGATATACTCACATTAGACATCAAAAGGGTAGCATATACTCAGGGACAACATTTGGAAAGGTTGGGAAAGAAGGAGGAATGAAAAGAAGAAATACAGGAAGAAGTGGGATAAGTTACATTGAGGCAATTGCAATCAATGGATGAAACAAAATGTATATGGTTTGTTGAATGTAAAACTGATGATCTGCTCTGTAAACCTTCAACCCAATTCACAACAAAAAGTTTTTTGTTTTTTCAAAAAAAAAGTCATGTGTATTAGGGAAAAAAACTTTAACAATATTAACTACATACATTGGTGGTGGTGGTATGCCATGGAGTTGGTTCCGACTCATAGCGACCCTCTATAGGGTTTCTGAGGCTGTATATCTGTATAGAAAAACTCATCTTTCTCCCACAGAAAGTAATGGAGCAAGAATCTCATTTAACGTCTTTCCTCAAACTTGAACTTTGATATTGCTTAAAAAACCCCTACAACAACTCCCGTACATCACGTGCCAGTTTCTGCTGCACATGATTTATTTCTGCTCCTCTTTTGTGAGTATCTGAGAGGGTCTGGATCATTTCCCATGGTGCTTTGCAGTGGGTATTGTACACAGCAAGCATTTAATTGACTATAATGTTATACTTAAACTTTAAAAATAGGTATTTTGTTTTGGCCTTATTATTTAAAAAATTTTGAATAGACAGGACAAAATTCAAACATCACATCAGGATTAATCAGTGGGAAAGAATCCCTCCCACACAAAAATCTTTCTATCCTCTCGCAGAAGCAATTGCTGCTACTTGTATAAGATAGTCTATGTGTTATCGTTACATTTTAAAGAATATTTGATGTTCATTTGAAGTGAGTATTTGATGACATTCTGTTACAAGAAAGAAAAATAGAATGGAAGAAAGGAGGATTTAGATTTTTGGGGAAAAAAATTAATAAAGAATAAGCAAAACATTCCAAAGAAGCCATACTTTAAAGCCTTGCTGGGGTAGCATGTCCCAGTTAATACGCATTCGTAAGGTTGAGAGTTGAACTGTGAAATCCATAACTGCACTTTGATCTGTGCAGTTCCATACTGAAATGGTGTAAACTTGATCGTCACATTCATCTTCCCATTAGCCGGAATGATTCCTGAGAAGAAAAAAAGAAAATATGATACTCTCATCTTGCTCATTCCAGTCAAACAGGCTAACAATATATTCTATTATCCATCTTTGTTGTCAAGTGCTGTCAAGTTGATTCCGACCCATAGCGACCCTGTATAGGGTTTCCAAGGAGAAGCTGGTGAGCTTGAACCGC